GAGTTAGTGTGTTGGTATATGGATTGCTTCCACGCAAAAACTCATGGTACACTTAGGCAGTGTTACAAAGCTATTCTACCATTATGACATTATTAATTTTGTCTAATATTTATCAGTGCAGAAAATTAAGCTAAAAAGAAAAACAAAATCAAACTGCCACAAAGCATTCTGGGTATGTCCACAGAAAAATTTAAACACATATAACAAGACATAGTTATTCATACAACTATTAATAACAGAAATTAGAAAAATAAATTAGAAGAATGAAACAATTAATAATTTAGATTTTAATAATATAGATTTCTTAAAAGTTATCCAGTTTAGTTCTTTTTGGCTACCTATCCTAGTATACAGGTATAACAATGTACTATTAACATAGGAAACAAAATTGACATTGAGAGGTATGCAACTTAGATGAGATCAGAACTGATGAGACTTCAGAAGATGATACTAGATCAGTATCTTTGATTGTAACTATGGCGATAGCCGAAAATAACCAAATCACTTTTATGAAACAACATACGTTTGTATAATCATACAAATTATTTGCATGATATGATTTTAATGAAATTGTCTAACATAGATCACAAATGTTGCATACCACCACTTTCAGTGCATAATGTGAATATAACAGTGATTTAACCATCATCTGACATAGGATACCATGAGATTTGGCACAGGATGATAAATATGAATGAGTTAGTATGCTGGTATATGGATTGCTTCCACGCAAAAACTCATGGTACACTTAGGCAGTGTTACAAAGCTATTCTACCATTATGACATTATTAATTTTGTCTAATATTTATCAGTGCAGAAAATTAAGCTAAAAAGAAAAACAAAATCAAACTGCCACAAAGCATTCTGGGTATGTCCACAGAAAAATTTAAACACATATAACAAGACATAGTTATTCATACAACTATTAATAACAGAAATTAGAAAAATAAATTAGAAGAATGAAACAATTAATAATTTAGATTTTAATAATATAGATTTCTTAAAAGTTATCCAGTTTTGGCTACCTATCCTAGTATACAGGTATAACAATGTACTATTAACATAGGAAACAAAATTGACATTGAGAGGTATGCAACTTAGATGAGATCAGAACTGATGCGACTTCAGAAGATGATACTAGATCAGTATCTTTGATTGTAACTATGGCGATAGCCGAAAATAACCAAATCACTTTTATGAAACAACATACGTTTGTATAATCATACAAATTATTTGCATGATATGATTTTAATGAAATTGTCTAACATAGATCACAAATGTTGCATACCACCACTTTCAGTGCATAATGTGAATATAACAGTGATTTAACCATCATCTGACATAGGATACCATGAGATTTGGCACAGGATGATAAATATGAATGAGTTAGTGTGCTGGTATATGGATTGCTTTAGTGCAAAATCTCATGATATACTCGAGTCAGTGACTCATAGCTATTTTACTTTACTGTTATTAATTTTGTGCAATATTTATCAGTGAAGAAATTAAGCTACAAATCAGGAAAACAAAATCAAACTGCAACAAAGCATTCTGGATGACCCATGGACAAAATTACTAATGATTAAAATGTATTACTACACATAGTGATTCATATAACAATTGGTAACAGAAAACTAAATTAAGCAGAATAAAACATTCAATAGTTAAGATTTCTTAAAAACCATCCAGGTTAGGACTACCTAATCTAGGATAC